GCCTATAATTCGTGTCCGAAACTGACTCGTAATTTCTCGCAAAAATTATTCGAGGTTTTGTGCCAATCATTCAACTTTGAAGCGATATTTTGAGTTATGCTACCATCCATTTCTTTCTTTCTTATGAATATCTTAAAAATTCATACTATTATGATTGCTTGCTTACGCTGGTTTCGTAATAGTCTTGATCAGTAGTTCCAGTGATAGAGGAAACAACAAAGCCCGACAAGACATTTAAACTCAAAAACGAGAATAGTTCACTTAAAATGTGTTAAAAAAGTGGCAAGAATCAATTCTGAACCCTTGGGCGCAGTAGAAGGATCCGCTGGGATGGCTACTATGGAATTATGTGGATGAGAGAAGCGCAAGTTAAACAGGAATGAAGAGACTGCTCGCTGCATCAGTAGCGAGAAACACAGTGAGAAACAGCAGCTGATCAAAGCACGGGTGTCGAGAATACAAAATCGAAGACCAAATGCTGATAAAATTTATGCAAGGCAAAAAAATATACATGACTTAATGGACTGAAACATTTCTTTTCAGTCTGCTGACATTTAGGTTTAACAATAAGTTCCTCTACCCACAGCGTGTCATACTTTATCATCTCTTAATTTTAATCATATTGGTAGCATGCAAGCAAATTTTTAGCAAAATAATCCCAAAAATCGATACTTCTGAATATTCCAGAGAACCATTTCGTCGATTTGCCAGTGATACGCTTCTCTACTGTGATAAAACGGAGTTTGCATGTCCAGACGGGTACTTGTGCAAGCAATCGTTGATGAACGAAAGATTCATATGCTGCTCGCCAATTGGCTTTTGCCAGCCTGGCAGAAAGCCGCAAATTGATGAAACTACAAATCACCCAAAAAGGTAATTATATGAATACTGTTGCGATAGCTACAATCCACAGTTCGCGGTGAGCTGGCAGTTTTTCATATTGCTTTGATCAGTGCTGCATCGTCTGCTGGTCAGTCTGCCGGCGCTTACCTCTTTAACTTCAAGGAAATTCAAAATATGGTCAAGAATATTGCTGGAAAAACTTGGAAACACAAAGATGCTTTTTTTGTTCGCTTGAGTCAAAAAGATAGCCAATAAACAAGGAAATGTTTACAACACAAAGTTGCGGCAAAATTAAAATTTGTCCCTATGGTAATACTTTGAACTCAGATAATCTTTACATTAGATTCATCGCAGTTTTCAAACAGAATAATCTCCACCAATTTGAACTTTGTCTCAGCATCTTCATGCCCTACCACCCTATGCTCAGGTGTGACGGGAGGTGTAGGACCTGGAGCTGGGGTGCCTGCCTGGCTGCGAGGGAGCGCTCCGGCAGTTGAGGGGATGTGCTCAACACCAATCAACAAAACACACTTCTTTATTAGTACAGTCACACAAAGAATATTTAAAAAAACGCAACGAACCCGAGATCAGCCCGGCAACAGCTCCAAGCTGCTACCGGACACACGCAATAGTTCCAACCGACAGCAGCTTCCAAGCTGCCGCCGCGCATTTCCAGGTTACACCAAAGAATACAATTACAATGACAATTTCATTTTCAATCATCACGTTAAATATTATGAAGAGGGAATTCGAGCCAAGAGACGAGGCATTTGCATATTACAGGAAACCGAAAGGCAACTAGACAAGGCGAGGGGGGTTGAGCATCCAACTTCGCTTCCTTGTTACTCGCTCCTTCTTCCTTTTGCAACACAGGATCAAGAACCTGGGCACGCTTCATCTGGCATGTGGGGGCACCCCAGCAAGGTTATTGATGCAGAATACTTTTATCTACTGCCCGGGTGGTCCCAGTATTCTTGGCTTTTTCAAGTACCCACGTAATTAGGGATTTCGAATTTAAAAACGTATCGAATTCGTAAATTTCAGCTATTGTAAAGAGCTCCAGTATCATTAACGAATTACTGCATAATTTCCAGATGTTTTACGAATTCCGGTGCGGATGCATCCAGTTCTTCTGACTGTGCCGAAAATTTCACGTGCCAGCAATCGACAGTAACACATATTAGAGTTTGTTGTAGCAGCAGCCATCGCTAGTACTATAGCAAGATTCTTCAACTGGTGCGTGTGTTTCTTGATCTCATTCTCTGTTAAAATCCCTGTTATTTTCATTTCTTTTCGGGAAGCTTTAATAAATAGCTTGGAAAGTCCGAATTCAATCATTCGACATGTGAAATAAGATTTATGCTTCATAGAAAAGACGCAGGAAATATTAATGTGGTAATAATTTTGAGAATATGATTTCTTGCCGTTGTTGGTACTAAGTTTCGGAAGTTCATTTCGTGTCTTGGAGGAATCGCAATCGGAGAAGACATCCCACAGAATTAAACATAAACTTTATCTTAAGCGACAGGTTACAAAACTTCATGAGAACATGAAAAGTGAAACGAAAAGAGAGTAAAGATGAATACCACAAACAAACATAATTGGAGATAGGTAAGCAAGCAAAAAATCATAAATAATATCATAAACATTGGTGATAATGATATCAATACAATACTGCTAATATCGTGTAACATTCAATACAATACTGATAATGTAACATCAAAAATCAGGTGGAAATAATATACTGAAAATATAATATCGATAATAATATAATATCAAAAACTGAGTACAAATGATGATATCAAAAAACCATTAGTAAAACGTCAAAAACATGAGAACTATTAATATAATATCAAAGAGGGTGAAAAATAATATCAAAAATAATACTGTTTATATAATATCAATAAATAAAACCATGATATCAAATGTGCAATTATCTCAATTATCAACTGTATCATTATCAATACCAAAACATCAATAAAATTCAAAATTCGGTCACTTTTAGCAGCAAACAGCTTTAGCGATATATTAAATACTGATACCTGAAGTACATTTAGATACGATTTACTACCTTTTTCCCCATCTATTTCCTTGGCAACTTTTCAGATTGTTTTGACTAATGCTGCACTAATTTGGTCATCAGCTTGCTGGCGACCTTGATGTTCCTTTCGTCTCCTTTGGGATCCCGTAAATATCAAGACCAATAACATAGTTAAACTCGGACACATCAATCATACCGATATAAAAACAAGTATTTTAAAAAAAATCAATATAAGCCCATTATCACTGTAATAACTAAAACAGACAAGAAAAGTAATGAATGACATGAAAATAATATCATTGATAGGGAGATAATGATAACTGACAAAAAATAAACAAAAAAAAAAACATAAACAAAAACTAATAACTGACAAAAAAAAAAATAATATCGAAATAATTGGCAGTGAAATCAGTGATCACAAAAAAAAAAGAACGAAAATCCACATGTATTGCCAATAACCCGTAAAGCAATAGAAGATCTGAGAGATAATATAATACAAGCAAGCAAACATCATCAATAACAGCGCAGAAAAAAAGACATACTTTGGCAACTGATCATCACAATATTCCACGACGAAGCTCGTAAAAATAATCTCAGAAAGAGTAGAAATTTTAAAAAAAAGTGATAAAGAGCGAAAAATTAAAAGAGTACACAAACTGAATGTAAAACAAAGTGTGAATGGACTCAAAACAATCCAGAAAATTTCAGAAACTTATTAAGATATGCATATTCATGCCATTAGTACAAAACCCGTTTGATGGATGAATGTATTTCTCGCGTAATGGTGAAGCCTTCACTTTGCCTACCCATTTCCCCCACCTCTTCCAAACGTAATTATAAAACACAAAAATAAAATAAAATTTGAGTCATCTTTCAATGACATTCCAGCTGAACGTCGGGAAGCGACGTTCCCATCGGAGATTGGATCTCTGACAGGGATGCTGGATTATTCAACAGTTCTTTGCAAAATCCACCAGAACGGAGGTATGAGGAAGTCGATTTCACTAAAAATACACCTTATCTTTAGTTCCGTCTTTTAGTGTGAAACACCTACAACTTGGTTGAACTTCCCAACTCCATCGTATTATGCTATCCGTAATCAGCTGCAGACTCAAACAAATGTCTGAAATTTAATTCGTAATATCCCGTATAGCAGTGAGTGGAAATCCACTGATCTGATTACGCACCAGCAAGTCAATCTCAGAAATCGCAAAAGGAAAAAAATCATCTCATAATCTAAAAGAAAAAATGAACGCTTGAGACAGCGAAAGCTCAAATAAATTAACTTAGGAAATAGATTAAGTAACTAGAAAAGATTGACAAAATGTGCGCAAAAAATCTTCAAAAAAAAAAAAAAAAAAAAAAAA